ATCGCCGTTGTCGATGTCGTCGTCGACCTATCGAGGTTCGAGGTCCGAGGGTAGAGCGTTTGGACCTTTTTGACATGTTCTGTCCTCTGGGGGCACCCTCGTGGCCACGGCTGGATCCGCCTCGAAATAATGGTTAGAACGTGCCTAGGAGAGGTCCAGGGGTCGTCGCCGAATATTCACTTCGAGAGCATCGTTTTGATCAATGGTAATGGTTCTGTGTGCTCTCGCCTCGACGCCAGCTATGTAATGGCCGAAGGCGCCCATCCCGCCACCGTTCCTGGGTTGTGGGTGTGCTCTTTTCAGCCTCTTGGGGGCCTCTCGGGGCCTCTTGGGGCCTCTTGGGGCCTCTTGGGGCCTCTTGGGGCCTCTTGGGGCATCTTGGGGCATCTTGGGCTTGGGGGCCTTTGTGGGCCTCCTGGTCGCCTCTGGGGGCTTCCCGGGGGCCTCTTGGGGCGGAAGGCTCGGATGTTCGGTTCGTGCTCCCTCTCTTGGTCCCCTTTTGGGGCCGTCTTGGGGACCTCTTGAGCCGTCTTGGGCGCCTCTTTGGCTGTCTCGGGGCCCTCTTGGGCCGTTTTGTTGAGGCCCTCTGGGAGAGGCCGTCTTGGGGCGATCTTGGGAGCCTCTTGGACCGTCTCGGAGCGTCGGGAAGCCGAAAAGGCGAGACAGCCAAAACCACGTTCAAGAACCTAAGGAAAATCAATGGTTTTTGCTTCTTCGGCCCCTCTTGGGAGGCCTCTTGGAGGCGTCTTGGGGCGTCTTGGAGGCCTCTTGGGCCGTCTGGCGGCCATCTTGAGCGTCATGGAGCGATCGTTCGGCGACCTCTATGTCCCCGTCTTCGGGGCCTCTGGGGGCCCTCTTGGCCCGTCTTAGGGCCTTCTTGGACCCGAGAAAGTCACGCGGGGAGACGCGGCCATTGTGATGCTCGCAGGCTAATTTGATGCTCGCAGGCTACTGTCGTGCTTACGTCGTCGTGCCCGAGGGCTTCCCAGGTCCTGCAAACGCTTCCAGGGGCCTCATGAGATCTCCTGAGGCCTCGGGGGACAGTCGTAAGCCTTCAGAGGCGGCCGTGGTCGTCGTCGTCGTCGTCGTCGTCGCCGCTGTCGTCGTCGTCGTCGTCGTCGTCGTCGTCGTCGTCCCCGTGCTCATCCCCGTCGTGGTCGTCGTGGTCGTCGTCGTTGTCGTTATCGTCTTCGTCCCCGTCCTCGTCCCCGTCCTCGTCCCCGTCGTCGTCGTCGTCGTCGTCGTCGCTGTCGTCGTCGATGTTGTCGTCGGCGTTGTTGCTGTCGTCGTCGTCGTCGTCGTCGTCGTTGTCTGCATCGTCGTTTTTGTCGTCGTCGTCATCGTCGTCGTAGTCGTGGTCGTCGCTGTAGCCGTCGTCATTGCAATCCTTGTCCCCGTCCCCGTCGTCGTCGTCCCTGACGTCGTCGTCGTCGTCGCCGTCGTCCTCGTCGTCCTCGTCCTCGTCGCGGTCGTCGTCCTCGTCCCTGTCGTCGAGGCCGAGGGCCTCGAAGGGCTTCCAGACGCCTCCAGAGGTTTCTGGCGACCTCCGTAGGCCTCCGAGACCTCCAGAACTTCAGACAAGGTCGTCGTTGTCGTCGCCGTCGTCGTCGTCGTCGTCGTCCTCGTCAATATTTGTCGCCGTCGTCGTCGTCGTCGTCGTCGTCGTCGTGGTCGTCGTCGTCGTCCTCTTCCTCGTCGTCGTCCTCGTCCTTTTCCTCGTCCTTTTCGTAGTCCTGATCGTCGTCGTCGTCGTCGCCATCCTCGTCCTCGTCCTTATCCTCGTTCTCGTCGACGAGGGCCTCGAAGGGCTTCCAAACGCGTCGCTCTCGTCCTCAAACTCGTTTTCGTCGTCGTCCTCGTCCTCGTTCTCGTCCTTGTCCTCGTCCTCGTCGTCGAGGGCTTTAAAGGGCCTCCAAACGCCTCCAGAGGCGGCCGTCGTCTTCGTTCTCGTCCTCAACCTCTTTTTCGTCGTCGTCGTCGTCCTCCTCCTCGTTCTTGCCCTCGCCCTGGTCCTCGTCGTCATCCTCGTCCTCGTTCACATCCCCGTCGTCGTCGTCCCTGTCGTCGTCGTCCTCTTCCCCGTCCTCGTCGTCGTCGTCGTCGTCGTGAACAGCATATTGCTCGAAGGAGGGTGTTAGGGAAAAAACTGTGGTGCTGCACCTGCGCACTGCGCAGTACACAGCGATGTGTGCACGCGGCGTCGGCGCTGCAAAATGTGCCGCGCGCTGTGGTGCTTGCTGTGATGCGCACGGGCGCTGTGGTGCCGGAACCACACGGCTGGGGGAGGCGTGCGGGGGGGGCGTTAAACCCCCCCTCCGCCCCCCGCCATAACGCCCGTCATGGCCGCGAATTTAACATGCGCTCCTTACAAAACGAATCTTGTTTTAGACCCAGGCAGAAGGGTGTCTACGTGTACTCCACTCAATGAGAAGCAATGTTTAATCGCCTACACAAGGAATCCCAGCGTAAAGTTGCTCAAAGGAGTCCTTCCGCAAACCAAAAACGGGATCAGCTTGTAAATCGCCCACAGAAGGATTCCTTCTGAAATGGGGCCAGGAAACAGCTTGATAGAAGGCGAGGAAAAAGGACACACAACACATAAGATATTCTCCTACCTTTTTTGGGGGGTGGGCGCGGGGGGCGGGGGGCACACATTCTCTTTTTCCCCCCAACCAGCTCATGGTGGTCGCAGTTGGTGATGGCCGCTGTTCACGTTAGTAGTGGGCCGCAGCTGGTGGTGGTCGCATCCGAGCGCACATCAGCGTTCGTGATGGCCGCAGTTGCGGGCAGTTGCAGCATAGCTGTGATGGCCGATGTTGCGGACATTGCTGCGTGAGTGCAAGGTGACAGGCGTTGCTCTCTTGCTGCTGCTGCTGCCCCAAACATTGCACTTGTCATCCCCATGTGGCAGTGCTTGGGGGCGTTGATCGCAGTGCCAGGGCACTGTTCTGAATCGTTCGAGGCAGTGCCGGCACCTCTTTGAACCGTCGCACCGTCGCACTTATAATTTACATGGGCTTCGGATTCGGCGAAATCGCTGATTTTAGCTTTCTCGCCGAGGCCGTTTTGGACGCTCCAACGACCCGCGGGGCGCCCCTTCCAGTAGGGGGTCGGGGGGGGAGGGGCAAGCTAGGTGCGCTCGCGTCATACCTGACGTCCTATCCCTCCCTCCCATTCCTTACCATGGCGTAGATTTCCTCTCTATTCGCAAAATCGGACGGCGTAGCATGGCATAGCATTACATGGCATACCATGGTGTTGAATATTAACGCGTAGCATGACATACCATGGCGTGGCGACGCCCCAAAGTGGGGGGGACTTCTGCGGCCCAAATCAACGAATCGACACCGAATGTGGAATCACTTCCGATGGTTTCTTCGGGAGGCCATTTGTTAGATTTGGGGCCTATTTGGAAGGACCGAAAACCATGCCGTGGCATGGCTCTGGAAATAATGATGCCAGCGCTGCAGCGGGAGCACGATTCGGAACGAGCGGAAGCGCGCAACTGAGGCCAGCGCTGCAGCGGGAGCACGATTCGGAACGAGCGGTAGCCCGAAAATGAAGCCAGCGCTTCAGCGAGAGCAGCATTTTGAAACAAACAGGCGAAAACTCGTTTCCTGAGAATCCTGTGTGTAGAAACCAGTGCGCAGAGGGGAGCCGGCCATTCCCAGGATGCCACCAGGGGAGAGAGGGGAGTAGTACTCAGATTGTTGAATTGTCAGACCCTTCCCCGAAGGGGAAAAGTGGGCTTGGAAGAGGAAGCCCGCTAAACCCCTCACACCCTGAAGTGCATTTTTGATTGTGTGACCTCCCGCCTGAGACGACGACGGCTCCCGCTCGAGACTTCCTCCCAGCTTACTCTGAGACGTCCTAGAGGCCCCCACACTCAGGTACGGCGCTCTCTACCGAGAAGCCTTCGATCGCACTTTATTCAAGGTGGTGAGTTGCCCGCGGGCGCACTCGCTCGCAGGGCCGCCACGCCAGCGCGGCCCGCGCATGGAGTGCACTGCCGAATGATTCTCCTATGAACCGGTCTGAAATGAGCCCTTCCTGGAAGAGGATGTGTACACAGCGTTCGTGGGTGGTTCCACTAGTTGCGCGAAACGAATGAAAGTTAACGCAGTTTGCTAGATCATATGTTCGCAATGTGGTCGGCGTCGCCGTTGTCGTTGAAGAGGGGGAAAAGGAGGAGAAGTAGGAGGAGAAGGAGGAGGAGGACGAGGATGAGGAGGAGAAGGAGGAGATGAGGATGGGGAAGGGAAGGCAGAAGGAGGAGGCGGAAGACGATGACGAGTGGCCGAGGAGGACGTGGAGGAGGAGGAGGAGGAGGAGAGGAGGAGGAGGAGGAGGAGGAGGAGGAGGAGGAGGGGGAAGAGCAGTAGGGGGCGGGGAAGGAAGGCTGAGGAGGAGGAGAAGGAGAAGGAAGAAGAGGGGTTGGACAAGGAGGAAGAGGAGGTGGAGGAGGAGGTAGAGAAGGATGATGAGGAGGAGGAGGAGGAGGAGGACCAGGAGGATGACGAAGGAGGAAGGGGGAGGTGAAAGGAGGAGGAGTAGGAGGAGGAGGAGGAGGAGGAGCAGAAACAGGAGGAGAAGGATGAGGAGTGCGTAGGGAAGAGGGGAGCGACGACGACGACGACGGCGACGGCGACAGCGACGGCGACAGCGACTCCGAGTACGACGGCGACGAAGCGTCCCCCAGACCTCTTTTGGGTCGCGTTCTTGCCAGAACCTCGAGGCGGACCCAGCCGTGGCCGCGAGGGCGCTCCCTGGAGCCCCCCCTCCTCAAAAGGGGCCCGCATCGTCCCCACACCCCCCGGCCCCCGATACAGTCCTGGATGGGTTCACGACGACTGCGGTTTTGTATCCTCGATTCTCGCTCGACCCACGACCACCTCGGTCCTCGATCGATCGACCCTCGATCGACCGACCTTGATCCTCGATTGTCGATCGATCCTTGATCGATCCGCGACGACGTCGACGGCGGCTCCGACGTGGCCCAGGTCACGCACCTGGAGTGGGCTGGCGAGTGGCACCTCCTGAGCGGGCACCGCCGGGACAGCTGGCTGCGCCTGTGGGACACGCGGAGGGTCGCCGTCGTCGTCGTGGGAGGGGGAGGAGGAGGAGGAGGAGGAGGAGGAGGAGGAGGAGGAGGAGGAGGAGGAGGAGGAGGAGGAGGAGGAGGAGGAGGGGAGGCAGGAGGGGGAGGAGGATACGGAAGAGGAGGATCGGGAGGAGGGGAGATGACAAACGTGTCGAGTCGTCTTAGAGTGATGGCGATTAGGGTGCTGTCGCTGTGATGATGCTACTGCTTATGATCATGTTGGCCATGGGGAAGATGCTGCTGATGATGATGATGATGATGATGATGATGATGATGATGATGATGATGATGATGATGAGGAGGAGGAGGAGGAGGAGGAGGACGAGGAGGAGGAGGAGGAGAAGGGGGAGAAGGAGGATGCGGGAGGAGGGGAGGCGGGGGGGGGTGGATAGCAGAATAAGTTGCGGTGCTTGCGATAATCGTTCGTGACATTGTCGTTGATACCGTTTTTGGCGCACGATGGGCGTTTGTCTGTCTCCCCCAAACAAACTGGACGGGATTACATGCTAAGCTACTTCAGTTTTAGTATGGACGACGTGTACACGCTGAATCAAGCCTCGCGCGATTTGAATGAACTCGATTCGGAGGTCGGATTGTTGTCTTCGGACCCGCGATAGTTGTTGCCCAGGAGGAGGATCAACGTCGATCCGACATGCGGGCAGGAGGGGGAGAAAGGGGAGGAGGATGAGGAGGAGGAGGAGGAGGTGCAGGAGGAAGACTTGACATTCCCCTCATTCCCCCTTAACCCTCTTGCTCCTCCTACTCCTGCCTCCTCTCCTCCTCCTGCCCCTCCCCTCTCGCTCCCCTCCCCCCCACCACACGCTAAGCACATCGCATTGGGGGCGATACGTACTTTGGCATGCCCCATCGCCGGTGCAGAAAAATGGGTAGGGGACGTGACACGCTAAGACTCGTGCATGCTAAGCTCGCCGAGCTGAGTGTTTATATACTCGGCAGATATTCACACGCTACGCAAGAGTTCGCACTGCTATGTCGTCGGTTCTTGGTCATTCTGCTCCTGCTGATGTTGTGCCTTCTGCTCCTGCTGTTCCTCCTACCTTGTCTCCGTGTTCCCCTCCTTTCTACGCTTCCCCCTTTTCCCCTTCCCCCCTTTCCCTCTACATACCCTGCTTGTCTATTTCCTCCTCCATCAATGCTTCTTGTATTCCCGCCCTGCTGCTACTCGTGCTTCTCTTCCTCCTCCTCCTCCTCCTCCTCCTCCTCCTCCCCTGTCCTGCCAAAAGCGTCCCTCCTACTCGTTCTTGTCGTCCTTTTCCTCTTCACTATCCTCTTCAATCCAGTCTATTCCTCCTGGGCGTTATCTTCATGTGCTTGTGCATCTCTCCAGGTTCAGTATGTAGAGGACTGGCGTAGTGACGTGTGTTGTAGCTCTCAGGGAAGTCGCCACGCAACCAGCCAGAAAGTGTGTGAAAAGGGGGATGTTTCAAGCACAGTTAGGGGACCAGCTGCTAGGGGCCCAGCTGTCTGCAGGGTTGTTTCTGACCGTGCGCACGCTGAGCTCGGAGCGGGGTGGGCTCTCCCAATTGTCGGGGCTGGGCTCGCACGCAAATCGCCAATTGTCGTAGCCCTGGGATCCGAATGAATCGTTCCGCAGCTCTCTGGAGCACTCATAGCGCTCTAGGGCGCTCTCGGTGGCAGTGACGGCCGAGGTATCCTCTGGACACGGTGGCTCCCAGAGGATCCCCGAGGTTTTCATGCCCTGCCTGCCTGTGCCCCGCCCTCCCGCCCTCCCGCCCGCTGCCAGGGGTGCAGAGCCGGCTTGGCCGCCCAGGGCGCCCTGCTGCGGCCCCCCGCTGCGTGAGCGCGCTATAGCCCCCTCCCTTCCTCCCGCGGCCGCCCCTCTTCCCTCTCCTCCACCTTCCCCATCACCCTCCTCCTCCTCCTCCTCCTCCTCCTCCTCCTCCTCCTCCTCCTCCTCCTCTTTCCTGGGCAGGCAGGAGCCCGGCAAGTCGCAACGCCGTCACCCGGCTTGCTGCGCGCGCGTGCGGACTGCCCCTGCCGCGCTGCGGTGGGAAACTTGTGCCCCGCCCTCAGGGACAACGTCAGGGGGGGATCGGGCCTCGAGTTTCTACAGGCCTCCCGCCCCGCGGAGCGAAGCGACACGCCACCCCTTCGCAAGGCATAGCGTGTCGCCGGGGCCGCCGCCGCCGCCGCCACGCGCTATCCAAAAGCCCCTGGCCGTAGGCTCATGTGGGGGAAGCCTTGATTTCTCAATCGCCCATTCATCGCCGATAAGGGGCTCGCTCGATGGGCGCGCCGCCCCGCCCGGGAACGTGCGGATTCGCCATCATCGGGGGGCCACTCGCCAGCCGTAACCTTGCCCTCGCGTGTGTGCGTTTATGTGTGTGTGTGTGTGTGTGTGTGTGTGTGTGTGTGTGTGTGTTTGTGTGTGTCGGACCCGCCGGCGAGGCTGGCCGCGCCACGCGCTCGGGGCGTGACCCGTCCCCTAGAGCGGCCTCGCTCTCCTCCATTCCCCCTCTTTCGGCCGCTCCCTCAGCTTTGTCCCCTCCTCCTGCATGGTGGCAGAATTCGCTAGAAACGGTACCCCCGTTTAGGTCGCCCTCCGCCAGCACAGTTCCTCTGCCTAGCCGCCGACGTAATATATATATACACTTATATATGTGTATGTATGTATATATGTATATATGTGTATGTGTGTGTGTGTGTGAGTGCGTGCGTGCGTGCGTGCGTGCGTGCGCGTGCGTGCGTGCGTGCGTGCGTGCGTGCGTGCGTGTGTGTGTTTGTGTTTGTGTTTTTGTGTTTGTGTTTGTGTGTGTGTGTGTGTGTGTGTGCGTGCTTGTGTGTGTGTGTGTTTGTGTGTGTGTCTGTGTGTAAGTGCGTGTGTGTGTGTGTGTTTGTGAAGAGAGAATGTTTGTATGGGTTTTGTGTGTATGTGCGTGTTGTGCTGTTTAAGAGTCTCCCTACTATATATGAATATAAATATAGATGTGTGTGTGTGTGTGTGTCCAGCTCTTGGCGTTGGCTGTTGGCGCAAGCCTGGGGCGCGCCCCCGCGGCACCGCGCCCCGAGAGCGATCGCGGCTGGGCCTCGCACATGGGGGCTGCCGCGAGATCCCCGTGAGCCCGCACGAGGTTGGCGACCACCTCGGCGAGCCAGGTGGATCAGTCGATCATTGCTTGCCAACCCAGACATGATTACGTCGTAAAATTCGGGACGGGAGGTTTTTGGCAATTTTCGGCCTCGGTGGGCCTTCGCCGGGCCTCGGGACCGTCAAAGAACGACGCAGGATGAAAAACCGGTCCCGGGGACAGGATCGTGACTTCCAGGGACCCCGTTTTGAAAAATGAGGACGTCGCATGTGTGGGTCGATCATTGCTTGCCAAGCCCAGCCCGATCCAGCCTGAAGGTGCCAGACTCCCCCCCCCGAAGTCCAGGTCGGGGGGTGTACGGGTTCCCCCGTTTTTTTTTTTTTTTTTTTTTTTTTTTTTTTTTTTTTTTTTTTTTTTTTTTTTTTTTTTTTTTTTTTTTTTTTTTTTTTTTTTTTTTTTCTCGATTTTCCGGAATGTCCCCCCATTGGAGATTGGCGGGCACAACGGCCATTTCGGGTCGGGTTGTCGTGTCTTGGTGGGTAGCCTGCCGAAGAACAACAAACTGCATAAACATACACTTTGTGAACCTGCGCGGATTTCTTGGGTCAGCCTTGGGACCCCTGGCGGCGCCTCCGGCGTCGCCCCTGGCGCGATCCGCGCGCCAGGGAGTGGGGGCCAGCGCCGATCCGAGAAGTTCGCTCGGACTTTCGACAGTTTATGTTTATGCCGTTCTTGGCTCCTCTAGTCAGGCAGGTGGGGTGCGCAGTGAGCGAACGAGGGTACCGTCCTCCCAGACCTTCAGACACCAGGGTTTCTTACTTATGCCACCAAGGAATTTGATGGGCTCCGCGAGGAGTTTCAAAGTTGCCGCCTCGTGGCCGCCTCCTGCGCTTGGTGGGTCCGACGACGTTTCGCTACGTTGCTGCCTTGTGGCCGCCTCGTCGCTGCCTCGTACGCTGGGTGGGTCTGGGGAGGATTTTCGCCACGTTGCCGCCCGTGAGGTCTGCGCTGGCTAGTATGTGTGTGCTTTTATCCTTAGCTCGGCTTCGGGGGGCCCTGGACCATCCTCGGGGCCCAGGATCATGGATCAACGACCCGCTTTCCTGTGGATGGGGTACGAGTGGACGATGGACTGCAGAATTGATTCCACTAGCTTTTTGTTGTAGTACCTACGCACATACGTAGAAGGTGTGCAGCTATATGGGCATTCTATGCTTTGTTTTTGTACCTGCGACAAAAAAAGCAATTCTGGGGTACATCAGTTTTGCCGTCGATCCTCATGCTCGAGGGGTGGCTGGACTCTGGAGGCCCTCGTCCCGAAGACATCTCCGCACCGGAGGCCTGGGGCCTGGGCAGGGTGCACGGGCACCGATAGGAATCGGGGGTGGGCAGACCTCCTACCCTGACACGTCGATTAAGGAATTGGCCGTTTTCGGTTCGCGAGAGGGCGTCGCGGCCGTCGTTTTTGCGGGTCCAGGTCCGTCGGTTTCGGTCCCAGGCCGTTTTCACTAAGGGGAGGTCTACTAAAGGGAGGTTTGTCCACTGCCGAAGGAAGCGAGTGGAGTCGTCCCAGAGAGTTCTGTGGCACTCGGAGCGCTCTGGAGCGCCCTGTGACGGCCGCGGCGGCCGTCACGGCCATCCCACTGGAAGCCCCCTCTCCTCCTCCTTCTCCTCCTCCTCCTCCTCCTCCTCCTCCTCCTCCTCCTCCTCCTTCTCCTTCTCCTCCTCCAACTCCCCCTCCTCCTCCTCCTCCTCCTCCTCCTGCTCCTCCTCCTGCTCCTCCTCCTCCTCCCCCTCCTCCATGAACTGAGTCGTCGGCCCTGGTGTCTCCTTGGTGGTGCCCCGGCCCAATCCAGCTTGGTCTGGTGCCGTGTGGCCTCGTCTGGCCTTCTTTGGGTCGCTCCCTGGCGTGCCCGTTCTGATCTGGATCCGTGGCCTCTCGATGCAACGTGGTAGCTGCTGTGCGTTCCTGCGACCGTGTGGTGCCAGAGGTGACCCTGGCCCGAGGTGACTCCATCTTTTGCAGGGAGGCCCAGATGGCCTCCCAGAGCGCCCCCCACGAGGCCCAGAGGGCCAAAGGGGATCCAAAGTGGCGTGGCAAGCTGGGGGGCACCTGGGGCCAGGAGCACCTTCGGCAGCCTCCGGCGCGGAGAGCTCCCAGGCGCTGCCGCCCGACTTCCTCCCGCAATCGAGCAGCATGGACCTGAAGGCGGAGATACAGGGCGCCTTCCAGGAGATCATCCTCCCCCAGATGCGGAAGGACGGGCGGCGCAGCATGAGCACAAAGATGGCAGGGCGAGAGGAGGGGATCGGCTTCCTAAGAAGGAGCGCCAGCTCTTCGAAGCCTTTTTGGGCTCGGAGAAGCCTCCCTTGAGGCCTCTACTTCCTTCTAACAGTCCAGGCCACCCAGATGGGGTCAGAGTAGATGAGGTCTGAGGATGGCGCCGCATCGCCGATGCCTCGGCGATGAGGCGCGATTCGAGGCGAGATGTTCATCATCCCCACGCGGGCGGTGCATCGCCGATTCGGTGGAATCCTCCAACTGCAAGTCCTGTATGGTGACGATGAAATTCCGGGGGGGGCTGTCACGTACCAGTGCCCCAGGCGATTATTCACAAAGAGGACGCAAGGCCTGCTCGTTGTCGCCTCCACTGGGATTATTTGGTCGTCCTCTCCAAACCCTTCCCCAGCGACAGAAAGTTTTTTATTTCAAATGCTTCCCTGGGTGTTTTTCGGAATCATCACCTCACGGCCGAGCATCTGATTAAGAGACCTCCTCCCGAAAAGCTGCGCAAGCGGTCCTTAACCAAATTGCTGGAAAATTGGCCCAGTTTCTTGAGCACGTTCGCCCCTCCAGCGTTAACGGCATACAGTTGGCCAGGCTTGCTTTAAGGCATCTCCCAGAAGCTGGTCCAGATTTTCGAAACGACGATTTCTTGATCATGTTTTCGGTTGTACATGTGCTGCGGCCCCGTCCAGGAATCCTCCAGAAAGGCCCCGCACCTTCTCGGAGGGCCGCCTTTCTTGCCCCAAGCGTCTTGAGCGCTGCCTGCAGGACCTGTCTTCGCTCAAGCAGGACGTCCAGGACACGGGGCTCGAGCCAAACCTGTGTCTTGACGATTTCGTGGACCGAGAGAAGGATAGAACAAGTAAAGGCAAACGAAGACAGAACGAGGAGAAACGAACACAAAACGAGAACGAAAAACCCTGTTTAGATTGAGCCCTGTCCAGGACATGCGGAGTGACTTACAGCTGCTCTCCTCCCTGGTTCCCATGAGGACCTCGGGAGACGACAGGAGCGGTGACCAGAGCGTGCCCCCACGTGCGTTGGACGCCGTGGTCGAGCTGGGACAGGACCACATCGGACACACAGCCGGCGGCGACCCGGCCCAGCAGGGGCAGCCGTCGTCGCAGAGTTGGAAGCTCAGGGCAGCTCGGGCCCTGAGCAAAACGAAGGGCATCAACAACCTTGTCGCCAGCACCACAAGCAACAAGCACCAGGTTCAGCACCTGGTGCCCCCAAACTACATCGCTGACGTCACCGAGAGCACCGACGACGGCAATGACAACATCGAGAGGGAGGGCTCGAACGTGGTCGACTTCACGGGTACAAATGGCAAGGATGTGTCCTCCACCAGCTTCACGGTCATTGTGCCACCCCCTTCTGAGCCAGAGTCTAATCGGATCAACAGGAAGACTTCGCCAGGTCGGATGATGCACGGGCGGCAAGATCGGGCGATGTACGATTCGGACGGCAGCCCCACGTCGCTGAGAGAGCGCGTGACCGATCTTCAGGTGTCTTCCGAGGCGAGAAGCGCAAGTCCGATCATTGAGAAGATGAAGACCCGCCAGTCCCTTGCGGCTGGTAGAGTATCTCTGGCACTTGCGAGGCAGTCTGAAGCAGCGGCGGAGCAAACACCGCTCATAAAGTGGCTGTTGAGCTTAACGCAGCGGAATACCTACCAGGGCCTGACCGCCAAAACGATTCTGCAGAGCTCCAGGTTCGACAACGTAATCAGTTTCCTAATATTGGGGAATTCTCTAACGATCGGGCTGGAAGCGGATTACGCGGCGCGGTACGTCACACATGCCGTGCCTTGGCCCTACCGCTTTTTTGAAATTTTCTTCTGTGTCGTATTTACATCGGAGGTCGTACTGCGAGTGTGGGTCCACAGGGTGAGCTTCTTCTGCAGCGGATCTGGTTCAAGGGTGCTCTGGAACTACTTCGACCTTCTGGTTGTCGGTGCGCAGCTGGTTCAAGAGTGCATCGAGCTCCTGAAGTCTAACGCCAGTGATCAAAACGATGCCGCAAACCTGCGCATCCTGCGCATTCTCCGTGTCTTGAGGATAGTGCGCATCTTCCGATTGGTGCGCGTGCTGCACCTCATCAGCGAGTTGCGCACAATCGTGAGTTCCATTATGGGGTCGTTCCGGTCCCTCTTCTGGACGGTAATATTGCTCCTGCTGGTGATGTATGTCGTTGGCGTATGGTTTCTCCAATCGGTGACCAGAGGAAGGGTCAGGATGAGGAAGAGGATGAATAGGAGGGAGATGTGCAGAGAGGAGGAGGAGAAGCAGGAGGAGGGGAGGAGGAGGAGGAGGAGGAGAGGAGGAGGAGGAGGAGGAAGATGAGGAGGAGGAGGTAGGATACGTAGAATGAGGATGAGGAGAGAGGAGAGAGGCGAAGAGAAGAGAAGGACAGATGATAATAATGATGCTGCTGCTGTTAATGGTGGTGTCGGTGATGCTGCTGCTGATGACGAGGATGCGGATGGTGATGGTGATGATATGTGTGATGGTGTTGATACTGCTGATGATGACGCCGATGACGATGGTGATGATGCTGATGATGCTGATGATGATGATGATGATGATGATGATGATGATGATGATGACAGTGATGATGCTAATGCTGATGATGTTGGTGCTGATGATGATGAAGACGACGATGTGGATGAGCATGATGATGATGATGATGATGATGATGATGGTGCTGCTGCTGATGATGGTACTGCTGATGATGAGGATGATGGTGCTGATTGTGATCATGCTGATGATGCTGATGATGACGAAGATGAGGAGGCTGATGATGCTGATGATGATGAACTTGATGCTGCTGCTGCTGATTGATGATGATGTTGATTATTGCGATGATGATGGTGGTGGTGATGCTGGTGATAATGATAATGACGATGCTGGTGATGATGCTGTCGCTGCTGATGATGAGGATGATGCTGATGACGATGACGCGAGGAGTGGGAGGAGGGGGAAGATGAGGAGGAGGAGGAGGAGGAGGAGGAGGAGGAGGAGGACGGGGGGGGCGAGGAGGGGGTGCTGGTGTCGGTGGTGTTGGTGGTAGTGCTGCTGCTGATGATTATGCTGGTGCTGATGGTGAAGGTTGTGATGACCAGGAGGAGGAGGAGGAGGGGGTGCAGGCGAAACGAGAGAGGAGCAGGAGGAGGAGGAGGACTTCCTCTCATCGGTGACCGACCATTTCATTGAGCGCTCGGACGTTGACAGCGACGGTGACTACATCGCCTACTCCAATGGGGAGACCCAGCTCAGAAAGCACTTCGACTCCCTCGCCCAAACGATTCTGTCATTGTGGCAGGCGCTTTTCTTGCACCTTGTGGCTCTGACGTGTTGTACACTTATGCCGTGTTTTTGATCACTATTCTGCTTTTGTAACATTCGTCATCATTGTACCGAAGACGCCTACGGGGACTCACCGCAGCCCCCTGCCTGTCTGAACCCCTATGCGACCAAACGTTGGACCGAAGTCTGGCCAAGCCTCTGAGGGGCCAGGCCGCACGATGCCGTCTTGGGGCCCTTCCCGGGCAGTTGTGGGTCCTTCTTTGGGCTCTTTAGGGCCGTCTTGGAGGTCTATGGGGCCGTCTTGGGGCCGTCTTGGAGGGGGGGCATTGAGCCGTCCTGGGGCCTTTAGGGCCGTCTTGCGGGCTTCTTGGGGGTCTCTTGGACCGTTTTGGGCCGATCTTGGGGACCATTTGGATCTGCGGAAGCCCGAAGAGGCGCGACCGCTATCACAATTTCGCAACATAAGAGAACGCGGCGATTCTGGCCTCTTGGAAATCGTCTTGGAGCCCTCTTGGGGCGTCTTGGGGGGGCTCTCGGGCCGTCTGGGGGCATCTTGGTGCCATCTAGGGCTCTCTTGGAGCCATCTTAGCTGTCTTGTGGACCATCTGGGCAGTTTTGGAGGGCATCCTGAGGCCGTCTGGAGGGGGTCGGCCGACGACCCAGGAAATTTTCGAGGCCGCAGGATTGCGAAGTACATCTGTATACGAGCGGAGGTTTTGTAGTTTGTTACTTGTTTTTTGTTTCTCTCTCTCTCTCTCTCTCTCTCTTTCATCATTCACATGTTTTGCCTCTCTCTCTCTTTCTCTCTTCTCCCCCTCTTTAAACTATACCATTCGTTTGCCAATACCCTCACTTGTCAGGTGTGCCCGTCATCTTTTTTGCCATCGTTGCCTGCACATCCCTGGTCAGCCCTGCCACGCATTGGTAATATTTGTAACGCCTTGCTTAGCTTGAATACAGGATCCTGCTTGAATGCGGAACACTAACTTTTCAAAACGGGTTCGGTCGTTCCGTTGGTTTGCATGCGTTCCGCTACCTTTTTGGCGGCCAGTCCCCCTGGTGTTTCTTCTAACGCGCGGGCCCGTTCATTCGGATTTCGTAGACTTACTTAAGTGGCTTCGTTCATTATTTATCGTTCCTGAGGTCAGGCCGGATCCTGTACCCCGCTAGTAAGTCGTGCGAAGCTTTGCTAAGCCATGTCCAGCCTTGCTAAGTTCTGCCAAGCTCTGCTGAGCCCTGTCACGCACTGGTAAGCCTCGGTCAGACCTGCTACATCGTGTTGGGCCCTAGTAAGCTTTGCTCAGCCCTGTTAAGCTCTACTAAACCTTGGTATGCCCTGTGCACCCTCGTAAGCCCTTAATTAAGATTGATAAGCCTTACCACGCTCTGCTCAGCCCTTCTAGGCTCTGCCAAGCCCTGCTAGAGCCATGGGTGCACCTTGCTAAGCCCTGCTAAGGCCTGGAAATCTCGATAGGCCCTGCTGGGCCTTGCTGAGCCGTGCTCAGCCTTGACAAGCTGTACCAAGTCCTGCTGATAGCTGCGGAGCCTTAAGTCCTGCTGCGCTTTGCTGAGCCTGCCAGGACCGTTGAGACAGACTAAGCGTTTCTACGCCTCTGTAAGGCCTGTTAAGCCCAGGCTAGCCTTGCTGAGTCCTGCTGGGCCTTGCTAACCTTTGGTAAGCCTTGCTAAGCCCTGCTAAGGCCTGGTAAGCTCGGCTGGGCCCTGCTAAGCCTTGCTAGGCCGTGCTCAGCTTCGGCAAGCTGTACCGAGCCATGCTAAGTTCTGCGAGGCCTCAAGGCCTGCTGCTTTTGCTGAGCCCTGCTAGGACCCGCTGAGACTTGGTATGCGTCGCTCCGCTTTTGCAAGGCCTGTTAAGCCCAGGCCAGCCTTGCTAAGCCTTGCTGGGCCTTGCTGAGCCTTTGCAAGCCTTGGCAAGCTCTGCTAAGCCATGCTAAATCCTGGCACGCCCTGTTGAGCAGTGTGAAGCGCTGGGCAGCTCTGCTAAGCCCTGGTAAACTCTGGTAAGCCCTGCCAGCCCTGGGTAAGCGTTGCTAAGCCCCGCTAAGGCCAGGTGAGCAGCTCGGTTGAGCCGTGCTAAACCTAAGCCGTGCTCCGTCTTAGCAAGGCGTGCTGCAACTTGCTAAGTTTTGCGAAGCCGTGGGTCTTGTTGAGTTTTGCTGAGCCCTGCTAAGCGCTGCTAACACACGGCAAGCCTTGCTTAGCCATGGTAGGCCTTGCCCATCCGTGGTGGATGTTCCTATTGGGTCCTGCTCTCTACTGCTCAGCCCTGACAAGCTCTGTTAATCCGTGCTGGGTCTTGGAACGCCGTGCTGAGCACTGCTAAGCTCTGGTAAGCAATCTTAAGACGTGTTAAGCTAGGGAAGCCTTGCTAAGCTCAGGTAGGCCTTGATAAGCCATGCGAAGCCTCGCGGAGCCTTGCGAAGCCTTGCTAAGTCTTGTTGGACATTGGGAGGTGTTGCTCAGCCTAGGTGAGCCCTGGTAGACCCAGCTAAGCAAGTTTAAGTCTGGCTAAACATTGCTTCTCCCTGGCGGCCTCCTTTCCATCACTGCTAAGCCTTGCGAAGCCCAGCTAAGCCCTGCCTAGCCTTGGTGGGCTTTGCTCAGCCATGGTGGGCTTCAGTGAGCCCTCGTACGCCCTTGGCAAGCTTCGTTAAGCTTTGGCAAGTCTTGCTACGCTTGGGTCAACTATGGTAAGTTCTGCATCATCAGAGAGAGTCCTTGGAAGGGAACCCTGAGTAGGGATTCGTTGGTCAGGAATCCTGAGTGGAGGACCCTTAGCAATGAGCCCCTCCTCTGGAGCCCTTATTCAATGGTCCTTGTGCAGGAATGCTTGGTTGGGATGGGAATTCCTTACCAAGGAATCGATAGTATGGGTTGTTGAAGTAGGACTCCTGAATAAGGAATCCCAGGTATGGAGTCGGAATTTGGATTCCGTAGCAAGGGATACATCGTAAACCGTCAGCATTGATTCATCAGTTGGGAGTCCTTAGTCAATAATCCGTTGCATGGAATTCGTATGAAAAAGTTCATAATGAGGATTCCTGAGTCGAGAATCCTGAGGAAAGAGCCTCCATTCATCGGGGATCCTTAGTAATGAATCTTGTTTTGGTCTCTCCCCCAAAAGTGATGGTTTGTTTTTTTGGAGGGCCTCCTGGGGCTTCTTTGGGGCCTCTCCAGGGCCTGCTGGCGGTCCCAGGGGTCATCTTGCGGCGAACGGCTTGAACTGTCAGTTCGAGCTCCCTCTTCTGGTGCCTTCTTAAGGACGTCTGTTCTGCTCGACGCTCCCACGTTTTATCTTTTGTGTTGCTTGATTTGCTTCGTTCTTTCGTTCGTTTTTTGTTTTGCGTTGTGTCTGTTTTGCTTCGTTCTTCTGTTCGCTTTGGTTTGCGTTCTTTGCTTCGTATGTTTGGCTTTGTTTGTTGTTTCGCCTGCCAAAGAATTCCGATTGTAAAGCCCGACAACAAGGATTTGAGATGTAATTCACACAATCGGAATCAATGTGTAAGTTTCCGACAAAAGGAGTCTTAATGTCTAGTGTAGAACCGCAGAATCTTAATGCAACTCATGCTGTGAATAGTCTTCCCCATCCTGCTCAGCTCTTTTACGGAGGCTCCTCTTTGGGGGTGTTTCACGAAAGTTGTTAAGGGCTTCCTGGGGCCTTCTGGAGGCCTCCTGGGCGCCTTCTGGGGGCCTCTGCGGGCTTCTTCGGGCCATCCTGCTTCCAACCGCGGTCTCCCTGAACGACCGGGTCACGATTCGGAATGCTTCGGGGGGCGTCTTGAGGCCATCTTGGGGCGTCATGGGGCGCTCTTCGGGCCGTCTTGGATCCCTATTGTGCCGTCTTGGGGCTCTCCTGGATCTCCTGGATTGCCTGGAAACCCTTTCGGATATTTTTTTGACGATTTTCGGGCCTCCTGAGCGGTTTCGGACGCCCGGAAGACCGAATAACAGATCATTCCCAAAATCGTGCGACAACCATTGCATACCATGTTTTTCTGCGGTTCGAGAGCCTCTTGGGAGTCTTCTTTGGGTCATCTTCGGGCGTCTACTGGGTGTCTGGGGCCTCTTGGGGCTCTCGGGGGGCCGTTCGGCCGCCCTCGTGATCGATTTGGGCCCGTTGCCTAGGCCCAGCAGGGGCTTCCATGAGCCCTGGAGCGCTTAGGGGGCCTCCTGCAGAGGCGTCCCAGGGCCCCCCCCGGGCTTGTAAAAAGGAGGAGGGATATCTCAAACGAAATTCATTTAGTAGAAATATTGAAGGAGGCGAGAGGTCGACACGGAGAGATATCAGCAATCTCGGCTGCTGTCGGCAGCAGCATCATCGTCATTATCCTCATCGTCACAGTCAGCAGTGACGTCATCAGCGTTAGTATCGCCACGAATCTCAGTCAGAAAACGTCACATATTACCACCTTGCAGAACAAACGCGGGAACGTCGAGGAGAACAGTCGGCCTCTGAGGGCCCTCTTGGGCCTTCTTGGAGGCCCCTGGGGCGGGTTGGCGGCCCCCAGACCTCTGGTGGGACACGTTCTGGCAATCATCGCGAAGCGAATTCCCCCGTGGCCACGTGGGCGCCACCTGAGAGCCAAAAAGGGCAAAAACGCCGATCCTGGATCCCCGAAGCGCTCGTTTCGATCCAGGGCCGACCATGGCCGGAACCGCTGATCATCGACCCCCGAGGTTCGACAGGTCGGCGGAACTCGTGCCGCGCGGGCGCGGGCAGCCAGAGTCCATCTCGATCCGATCGATCCGATTCGATTTCGATTTCGGCCCGATCCGATGCCGCTCCGAACTTTCGACGGTCCGACGCCGCCCGATGTTTCCATGACGCTCTTGTGCACCCTGGCGCGGCCGGCTCGCTTCGAGCTGGACCCCATGCCGACGCGGACCCGATTCGTGAAGGACTCTCTGCTTCTTCCTTCTTCTCCTGGTGCTTCTGCTGCTGCTGCTGCTGCTCCTCCTGCTCCTCCTGCTTCTCCTCCTCCCCCTGCTCCTCCTGCTCCTCCTGCTCCTCCTGCTCCTCCTGCTCCTCCTGCTCCTCCTCCGCCTCCTCCTCCTCCTCCTCCTCCGGGCTATCATCCCTGCTGAGTCTAGAATGCGCCAGGGTTGGACACTTATAGCTCCCTTCTTCTCTTGTCTCTCAGGCGCTCTCCGGGGGCGTCGACTGGAGCGAGGTCGCCGACCCGCTGATCTCGGAGGTCGAGCCCCTGCTCGGCATCGGCTTCGCCGCCTTCATCCGGCCGCCTTCGGCCGCGCCCGCCGACCCTTCCCTGGGCCGTTGGCCGCGCGGCCTCTCGGGAGGCTTCTCGGGGGGCCTCTCGGGAGGCCTCTTGGGAGGCCTCTTGGGGGAGGGGCCTCTGCACGGTCGGGAACTTCTGGATAGCCCCTCGCCCTGCCTGTGCTGGTCCACCACGCTCCGGCGCAACACGCTAGCCGCTTCCCGGCCCCCCAGCGTCAATGTCTCGAGCTTTTCCGAGCCTCTCCCGCCGCGCGGAGCAGAGCGACACGCTATCCGCTCCGAAGCGATGGCGTGTCGCCGGGGCCGCCGCCGCGGCACGCTGAGCAAACATTCTTGACCGCACTCGGAGTCCGAGGCACCGATACCGCTACCATTGCCTCGCTTTCGCCGTTTTGGCGCCTCCTGGGAGGCCCTCGTCGCCACAGAGGGATTCGCCACGAAGTTCCGGTGAGAACGCACTTCAGGAGAAGTCCGCTGAGTCGGCGTCACCCCAACATACTGGTACTACATGTGCGTCGCCCCCCGTTGCGATGCGCGCACGAAATCTTACAGTACTGTATATGCGTCGTGGCGGGCGCTTTCTGGCCACACCGCTCGGGAAACGCTCTACTACAAGATGGGCATACTATGTGTTCGGGTCAGACGCGCGCCTCCAAGGAGAACATATAGTGCTAGTATGTCTTTGTGCGTCCCATTGAGCAGCGGCATCAGTACCTTTTGGTTTCCCCATGTGTCGGGTGCCATCTCGGGGTGTGGGGCCGCTACGGGCTTCCGCTCTCTGGGGCCTTGGGGTGCCTCTCGGCGGCTCCTCTTCCCCCCCAAAAAATCCAGAACTTTGTGGGAAGTGGCGGCCTAGAGACATAGAACAGACACGTAGCTTATCGAATGGCTACCTCAACTGATTCCACTCTCACGTGTGCTCAAACTTTCCAAACGATCCTATCAATCAAGAGCTCCTGGCTTCCTGGATCGTCTTGGGCTCGCAGGCCGTGTGCCACAACCCCGGCACCTCTCCGTGCCACCACCGTGCCCGCCAGAGTGCTGCCAGGCCCAGGCCGAGGCGAAAGCAGACGCCTCTTTCGAGGGACGCCGGCTCCTGTCCGAAGTGGGAATTTTACCCATGGCCACGGGGCCAAAGAGCATCTGCAGCCACCGCCTGCTGCTATCTCCCGAAGCAGGGCTGAACCTAAACGGTGTTTTTCGTTTTCGTTTTGTTTTCGTTTCCCTCGTTTTGTCTTCAATCCACCTCTAACGCAAAACGAAGTCGAAACGAAAACGGCTCTCGAAATCGCCAAAACACCGTTTAGGTCCAGCCCATGCCCCGGGCGGTGATCATGTTCAAGCAGTGGCGAAGCGTCCCGTCGTGCCTATAGGCCTACCAAACAATGTTCTAAGAACCTCTCGTGGTTTCCACCCAGTGTTCTTAGAACATTTCTGGCTGGGTCTATTTTGTTTTAACCCATCGGGTCTATGTTCTAAGAACATTGCTTTTGTCCCTAGTACATTTTTGGGTTCTCAGAACATGTCGTGGTAGGCCTGTAGAGATGCCGGGACGGTCGGTCTCTGCCCAATATGTGTCCCCCCGCCTCGCATCCTGGGCCGTCTCTGATGCTCTTTGAGCTTGGCCTCGTCGGGACCGGCCCCCGGCGCCCCCCTGACGGCCGAACGGGGCTCCCAAGGCAGCCCCTGGCACGACCCTCTGGGCGCCACTTTTTTTGGCAGACGGGCATCGGGTCACGCGGGGAGCCCCCCCTTCGGCAGGAACGAAAGGCTTACGGAAAGACCGGAAGGAGGCGAGGGCCTGGGAAGGCCGTCTCGAAGCTTTTCGGGCGGGGCGCGGCCAGCGAAGGTGGCCGAGGATGGACCGAGGAGGCAAGGATGCTAGTTCACCCTCAGGTCGGGCATGTCCCCTTACAGGCGGATGTTGGGCAATTTTTGTTTAAGATTCCCCAGGAATGCCCCCAAATAGTCAACAATTTAAACACGATGCCCAACAGTAGTTCCTGTTCATTTTGAACCAGACTCGCTGTCCGCGCCGCCGCGGACGTTGCTCGTTTGAAGCAGAAGGCCGCCTGCCCAACAGCGGCCGCTTTCGGTTTTGGGCAACTTTTGATGTGTGGCATCGCACCCATCTTTTCCGTACCCTTTTCGGGCGTCCAAACCCCTGACATTGACGACGCCAATTGACCACCCCACCGATTCTGGCCTGACCCATTGGGCCCAGGGCTTCCGGGCCTTCCAAAAGGGTTCCGGGCAGGTGGGGTCGGAGATTCGCGACGCACCGCGGATGCATCAGCGACTCGCTGCGACGTGGCGTCCCCACCCGCTGGGATGTCGGCGCTGGGCTTCGGTGTTTAATTTGGGTCATCTTCGGTTCGCGCCCCGTTCGATGCCCCGCTTCTTGACCTTCGCCAGGGAGCCGCCAACCAAAAAAAGGATGCATCAGCGATGCGACCCCATGTCCAGCCCGACCTTTCTGCACCGACGGCGCCGACGCGCCGCCGACCTCGCCGATGCACCGGTGCTGCGGCGCGGTCCCCCGGGCTTCCGGGGTCGGCTTTGGGAGGCGCAGTCACCGCCGACTGTTGGCCCGGGATCGGCCCGGCCAGGCCCGGCTTGGGGCTCCGTTGAGCAAAGCGCCCGATCGCGTCCAGACATGCCTGGGCCCTGGGGGAGGAGGAGGAGGAGGAGGAGGAGGAGGAGGAGGAGGAGGAGGAGGAGGAGGAGGAGGAGGAGGAGGAGGAGGAGGAGGAGGAGGAGGAGGAGGAGGAGGAGGAGGAGGAGGAAGCCCATCTTGCCTCTCGCGCGCGCGCGTGCGGGCCCGCGCGCTGCCGTCTGCCGCGGGGGCGGGCGATTGCAGCGGCCAGCCCGTGAGGCAGGGCTCAGGCGAGCCGCGGCGCCAGCGAGCCGAGGGATAGGACAGCCACATCCCTCGGCGCTTCGGCGCGGTGGCCGCGCGCCACGGTCAGGCGTGTATAGGGCGCTGGGCACAGGCGCAGGAGAGAGCAGCGCACAGCGGCGCGGGTGCTGGTGCGCGTCGCGGCGGCGGGGCACCTCCTCGCGGCGCACCACACAGTCCAGCGGGGGCCCGACTCGTACATGGGCAGCGATGGCACGTTCATGCGCTGCGACGAGTGCGGCTGCGGCAAGAACCTGTCAGGGTGGAAGTGGTGCAAACACTGCAAGGGCGCACTGCAGACTCCGTCGGGTAAGCCGCCCCGCCGCTCAGGCAGTCGCGGTGCTGATCGTACTCGGGCTCGTTCTCCAGCCCATGACAGCGCAGCAGCGGGGCCAGCGTGGCCTCCTTGGTGGGGACAGCTTCCCCCAGCTGGCCAAGGCGGCAGCCGCTCCCGTGCCCCGAGCGTCAGTTTTTCAGACGGCACTGCGCCTGGGAGAGAAGAGCCTGCATACCCCGAGGCCACGGAGGAGCAGCGACTCGAGGCCCTGGTTCACCTGCTGTCCAAGTCAGGCGACAGCGACGGGCCGGCCAAGTACCAGAAGCAGCTGGACGACCTTCGGCAGTCTCAGCAGGCAGCAGCCATCACTGTCGGGTCGGCCACGCAACGTGTCAAGCAAGCAGAGGCGGCCCCTCGCCGTGCAGTGGAACGTTTCGATCGTGTGGAGGCCCAGTACAATGAAGCTCAGGCTGAGGTGGCAGTGCAGCATCGTCAGTGCCCACCATCGACCTGTCCTCACTGCTGGACGGCCAAGAGATCCGCTTGGACGACGGAGGGATGTTCGGGCTGGACGAGCTCGACGACGTCGTCACCGCGGAGGACAAGGAGGAGGCCCAGCGCCGAAAGGACGAGCTCCAGCGCCAATTCACCGAGGCGGCCAAGGCCTGCTTCGGCGACCTCAAGACCAAGGCGGCGGCCATCAAGGAGGAGCAAGCCAAGCAGAAGGAACGGCTCAAAGCCAAGCGACCTCGTCCGTCCGAGGAACCTGCAGCGGCAGCTGACGGCAGCACCAACGGGACGGCGGGCTGCGAAGCCAAGGCCTCCTCTCAGGCCAAGGCGCCGCCTTCGCCTGGCAAGGCAGCGGCCTCGTCGGCACCGCCGCCAGCCAAGCCCACGCCGCCCGGTGCCGAGCCGCCTGCGGAAGCAGCAGAGGCCACTCCGTCGATCGTCAAGGCGGCCAAGGAGAAACTGGCGCAGACTGCAACCGCCAAGTCGCAGTAGCAGCGGCCATAGCACGGGCCTTCATGAAGACTACCATTCTACCTGGGGGCAGACGCAGGATGCGGGTTGGACAGTCCAGCTAGGGCATCCTGCGCACTGCAGTTTCGACTTGTCAGAAGATAGGCACTCGGCGTTGCCCTCCCCCTCAGTCTCGGGCGACTATGGGCGCGACGGCAGCGCGAGCGCCGACACCTACAACTTTAACGTTTCAAATCATGGCTGGCCCAGGTTCGACGTCGACGACGCCTGCGAGGAGCGGCCTGAGCATCCTCCAGCGCCGCGGAGGCGGGTCTGGCATAGCCCTGCCCCTGCGCTCGTCAGTTGCATCGACCTGGGGGCTATGCGGTGGTACCGCGACCCTAGCCTCGGCCAGCAGGACGGCGGCAGGCTGGACTACCTGGGCATCCGCATTCTATTTCTGACAGCTGAGTTAAGCCACCCCAGATTTGCGTGGCGACTGGATGCTCGCGCTCAGAGTCCGAACCAGTTGGCAGCTGAGATGTGTGCACTCTCGTGGCATCGAATGACCAGCTTCGGCAGGTGCCTGCGCTGGCTGGCGTCGCTCAACGCGGCCCACAAGTTCATGGCCTTCGACCTGCACCGCTACGAGGTCAACAGGTGGCGTGCGTGGGCTGATCGCCCTGAGCGCACGGGGCAGGCCCCTCCCGTCGGCCCTCCAGGCAGACGGTGAAATCACATCGTCTTCAGCTACTGGAGCAAGTTCTGCAACGAGGAGCTGCGGGACTCCGATGACAGCGACGACGACGACGACGGCATCTTCAGCTCGAGCGACTTGCAGAGCTCCGATGACGCCGCCTGGGCAGGCGACGCGCAGTGGTACCCAGAGCACCAGGACAGCAACTCAGACCACGACTTCAGCCTCGCAGATTACGACCCCAGCGACGAGGGCCACGAGTGGATCGTGTACCACGCATCGGACGTCCAGAGGGACTACCTTGGCAAGAGCAACCGCCATGTGGACAACCATCTCGAGACCATATACTGGCTGAACTCCCCGTCGCACACGACGGCATCGTCACCCGCCACAGCAGCAGCGGCAGCTTCGTCAGCACCGACAGCGTCGGCTACGGTGGCTTCAGCGGCGAGATCTTTGGCATCCACCAGAACGTCGGGCACGCCAGCATGGACGTCGGCTACGCAGGGTACGGCAGCTCCCTCACCACGCAGTAGGAGGCGCCGCGGCCAGGCCTCTGACGGTTCGGCTCAGGCTTGGTTTGCCTGGCGGTCGTTTCGGTTCCAGGGGCGCGTTTTCGTGTCAACGGTCGGTGCGACAGGCAGGCAGATCCAAAGCGCTCCATGTTTGGTTTCGGATGATGGCGGAGCGCTGGATCTGCGGGCTCTGGCTCCACACCAAGTCTTGTGGCTGGCGCAGCGTGCGGCCCAGAGGAAATCCGACGTGGCGGCTTTGGCGGCCAGGAGCTACGCCGTGGGTTGGAACCGCTCCGTCCTCTGGGGGCCCTTCCCGGACCTTCGGGAAGGCCCTGTTAAGGGCCAGTGGTCCAGACTTTTCCAGGGGTCGTTGCGCAGTCTGATTTCACAGTGCTCTTGGACACAGGCTGCCAGGAACATTGAGGCCTGGCACCGGGACCTTGACAAGGCCGCGGCAGGCCTTTTCCGTCTCCCCTTAGCGATGGCCCCTCCCCCTCTCCTTGCTTGCCTAGCGGGTATCACCTGGGTGAGTCGGCCAGATGATGGGGTCCTGCGGGGGCGCGTGTGTGCGGAAAGACCCTGGCGGAACCCCGCAAGTCCGCGGCTCGCTCGCACGGGCTGGGCCCTGGTGTTAGTTGACGAAGACGGCCGACTCACCCCAGCATGCTTCGGAGCAGCCTCGCTCGATGCAGCGCCCTTCCAGGCTGCGCGCGAGGGGACTGGCTGCGCCAGATATATGGCGCGCGGCGCAGTCGACGTCGTGGATGGGCAATTTTACACGGTTTGCAGCGACGCGCTTGGAGCGCTCAGAGGCCAGCAGTGTGCGCAGGGCTCGAGCCGCTCGCGGTGCCATCTTAGGTTGAGTAGTTTTCCCGCCCTTGATGGGATCCGCGCAGCTGCAACTAAAATTAAGGCCCGCACCAGTTGGGCGGACGTGGAAGTTGGTCGGGCCACGACCTTCGCGAAGACGGGGTCGGGCGCCGCTGACAAATATGCGATGATGAGAGCCGGCTGCCTTGCACGCGCTGTAGGCGCCAAGGCGGCCGCTCAGGTTTTCAAACGGCTGCTTCGCGAGGCAGGCCACTGGGCCGCCGAGCAGGAAGTCTGGACGGCCAACAGAGGCCTGAAGGACGCGGAGAGCCTGCCCGAGACTGCGCGAGCTGCCAGGGGTCTGGACCGACAGCAGTCAGGGCCCCTCGAGAGCTTCAAAACTGGGCGGCAAACGTTCGCTTTGTGCCCTGGAGCCCAGGCCGACCTTGAGGTCCTGATGGGGCTGGCCCGTCACGCGCTCGTGAAAGCTGCGGGGCTGTCGGACTGCGAGTCACCCGCGGCCCCACGGTTTTGTTTTGCACGTCCAGTGGGGCTTACAGCTGGGGAGGGATCAAGTCGCATGGCAAGATCTGCCCCAAGCCCCAAGACGCTTTGGCTGCCCTTCAATACCAGAGAGGACGAGCTGCGAAGCGCCTCTTCCCTGGGTTGGCGCCACGGTACAGCAGGTGGACCAATGGGGAACCGCGCCCAGCGGCGCCGTTTGACCTCGAGATTGCTGCCCGCTCCAACGGGTCTCCTTTAGACCGCCTACTAACGTGGGGGGGGAGGCGTTGGAGCTTGGTGGGCGGGGAGTCTGGGGTGCGATGTGGAATGTGGACCAGATCTCGGCTCGGTTCGGATTCACCTTCGGAGGTGAGCAGCTGGAGCGAGAGGCTGGAAACAATTCGGAAGGGCCCGAATGCGTGCCCAGACAATTCAGGTCTGGACTAAAGAGCGTGTTGTCATCCTCCGTTGGAGGGGCGGATCTTTGCTGGCTGCCATGTGTCACTGACCATGGCCGCACTGGGAAACAGAAACAGAGGAGGAGGAGGAGGAGGAGGAGGAGGAGGAAGAGGATGAGGAGGAGGGACCCGGGCCCCTTTGCAAGAGCAGCTCCAAGAGTCGGACGCTCTCCACGCCCTCCCGGCGGCTGCGGATCGCCTTTGCGCTCCTGGCGCTGATGAACGTGGTCACAGGCAGCACGCGCCGCTTCGCTTCGGGAGCGTCGAGGATCGAGGTTCGAGGTTTTCTGACCTTTGAGGCGCCCCGAGTTTTTTTTCGGGCCGCCGGCGAGCTGCTCGCTGCCGCGGTTGGCGCAGCTCCCGGAGTGCTGGCCAGGCCGGGCCTCGGCAGGGGTCCAGATCCGAGTCTCGAGGGCGAGAGCCCAGGCACCCCAAAGTCAGGAGGAGGAAAAACACGCAGACAGAATTCATCGTCGATTCCCCCGAAAATATTGGAAAATAGGGGAAGTGGAGGGGAAGACAAAAATCCAGAACATACGAGAAAATAAGATATGGGGAATCCTGTTATTTGTGTCTATTTCTTCGTGTGTCCCAGGGCCCCTTCACAAAAGGCCCCGAGAAGCCGAGGCGGAGGTTTCCTGCAGGTGTCGAAGTGCGGCGTCCTGGGGCGGTTCTTGGGTCTCTCGGGGCTGCCGAAAACAGCGATCCGAGCCGAAGAGCTGGCCCCTGGAGAAGGGAGCGGGGGCTCCAGCGACCCCGTTTGGAGGCAGTCACGGCGTCGGAGGTCTTGGAACGGAGGGCGGCGCACTACGATCGTGCCCTGGATCAGCGGTCTGGCCCCTGAGGATGAGCCGCGAGGACATGGAGGCAAGGATTACTGAATCGAAGGACTCCAGCGTGGTCAGCACACGGAGACTACAACATTCGATTCGGCTGTCCTGGCCTCCCTGGTTCTAGTGGCGATGCATGCGGCCAGTTCGCAGAACCTGCACCAGCGTAGGGTTCGCACAGGCGTCTTTGTTCAGACCGCGCTCCACAGCGCTGAGGCGGAGGAGGAGAATTTCCTCACAGATCAGATCATCCAGCTGTTCCACAAGTGCAAAAGTGATGACAGTTGGGGGTCCCTGTCCGAGGTGGACCTCGAGGAGCGCCTTGGAGATCCAGAGCTGGCAAAGGAGTGGAGCAACATAAGCGTCAGCGCCAACGAGGCCCAGTACGTGTTTGCCCTGCTCGACGTAGAAGAGAGAGGAGAGGTGCAGTTTGAGGAGTTTTTGAGCGCATGCTTGCGCCTGAAGGGAAACGCGAAGTCGCTGGACATGCTCATCCAACTGCAGGAGTCCCGGCACAACATGAAGGTGGTAACAGATGGTTTCCAGAGGATCGAGGACAGCCTAACCAAGATGTCAGGCACGCTCCAAAGTAAGTTGAACCTCAAGAGCTGGAGAGGGGCGCATGATTCTCCAACGCAGCCCACACACTCGGATCTAGACCCTGACGCCGCAGTCATGTGATGAAGAGGTGCGCCGTTGTTCGTTAATCGTCTCTTGTTGCGCTACTCTCCGTTCCGGACATGTGGCTGACTGTGTTTCACATTCGCGCTTGTTGTATGCGGTCGGGCTTGCGAAGGCACGCTTCTGTAACGCAATGCAAGCAAGTTGTGTATCTCCTTTGGGCTTTTAGTTGCGGAATAATGCGCAACGCCTTGCACAAGCCCCCATTTCTCAAACAAAAAGAGCATCGTGGTTGCTGATTGCAAAGTTTCCTATTATTTCCGATCGTGCCACCAACGGGAACGTCCAAGCGCATGTGTTCACGGGGTAAACCCAGGCTAGCGAAGGGCCCTCCCAGGAGATCTCTTGTAGCACAGGGGGGTAGCCCTCTCCCATGTAATGCGAGCACCGGAAGAAAGAGTGTTGGAGCTCCCTTTGAGCCTCGTCAGAGCCATCCCTGTCCCCACCGGGACAGGGTAGGCAAGCTTTCCCAGCGTAATCCCTTTAGGTCGGGATCGGTGCCGCGAAACCCGAAGGAGACGCCACCCATCCCCACCTAAGAGGCGTAGGTCGGCTAAGGCACCCCAGTTTTCCCTGGCTGGGGCGAGGATTGTTTTATTTGTCCAGGGCGGTATTGGTAGCGAATTGAAGCGTGGACGCCATGCTGGCGCCCCCATTAGGGGTATCGCGTGGAGATCCTTCTGGTCTTACTGGGCTCGATCCGTCTGAGGTGTGTGTGTGTGTGTGTATGTGTGAATGGAGGCGGAGCTGGCGCAGGAACGCCCCAACTGAGGCGGACTTGGGACTCTCCGTGAGGCTGGATGTGTGTGTGTGTGTGTGTGAGAGAGTGTGTGTGTGTGTGTGTGCGTGTGTGTGTGTCCGTGGCGTGTGTGTGCGTGTGTCAGAGTGAGGGGGCCGAACGGTCATTCACTGTCCCTGGGTGCGTGGCTGAAGTGGGATTCCGCGGTGCGGATTCTCGTTGTTGTTGTTTGTTGTTGTTTGTTGTTTGTTGTTGTTTGTTGTTGTTTGTTGTTGTTTGTTGTCGTCGTCCCACCCGCAACCCGCCCCGCGACCCACCCGCGACCCACCCCGCGACCCCCCCGCGACCCACCCGCGACCCACCCGCGACCCACCCGCGACCCACCCGCGACCCACCCCGCGACCCACCCCGCGCCACCCGCGACCCGACCGCGACCCACCCGCGACCCACCCCGCGACCCACCCCGCGACCCACCCCGCGACCCACCCCGCGACCGCACCCGCGACCCACCCGCGACCCACCCCGCGCGACCCACCCCGCGACCCACCCGCGACCCACCCGCGACCCACCCCGCGACCCACCCGCGACCCACCCGCGACCGCGACCCCTCGCGACCCACCCCGCGACCCACCTTCGGCTCAAACCACGTTCAAGGTACAAACCACTGTTTTCGGCGCCTGCGGCGGGCTTTTTTTGCATTCCTTCCAGATGGAGAGCCCGCGACCCACCCCGCGACCAACTCGCGACCAACCCGCGACCCAGACCACGTTCAGGGTACAAACCACGTTTTTCGGCGCCTGCGGCGGGCATCTTTTGCATTCGTTTCATGGAGAGCCCGCGACCCACCCCGCGACCACGTTCAGGGTACAAACCAAATTTTTCGGCGCCTGCGGCGGGCATCTTTTGCATCCGCTCCCGGTGGAGAACCCGCGGCCCACCCGCGAACCATTCCACGTTCAGTGTACAAACCAATTTTTTCGGCGCCTGCGGCGGGCTGCTTTTGCATTCCTTCCAGGTGGAGGTGGAGACCCGCGACCCACCCGCGACCCAAACCACGTTCACTGAACAAACCAATGCCGCACAAGCGCGGCGGCGGATTTTTGCATGCCGTCTGAGCCCGCAACGACCTCTTCAAGCCCCGCGCATCCACACCAGCCCGTCCAGCAACTTTGCCCTGGCGAGTTGCCTTGATCAGAGAAGTCGGGGAGCATAAAGTGGAAAAAAGGATTGCGTTGCCGTTATCTTGGGAAAGGAGGGGGAGGCAGGAGGAGTAAACAGGGGACGAGGAGGACGCGAAAGAAGAGAGGATGTAAGGAGAATGTGGAGAAAGAGGAGGAGGAGGAGGAGCAGGAGGACGAGGAGGGGGAGGAGGGGGAGGAGGGGAGGAGGGGGAGAGGAGGACGAGGAGGGGGAGGAGGGGGAGGAGGGGGAGATGAGGGAGGAGGAGGAGGGGGAGGAGGATGATGATGGACGACAATGGGAGGACGATGATGGAGGCCGATGAGGGGGGGGGTGGACGACAATGGGAGGACGATGATGGAAGGACGAGGGGGGGAGAGGGAGGACGAGGAAGAAGAGGAGGAGGACGAGGTGGAGGAGGAGGATGACGATGACGACGAGGACGAGGACGAGGACGAGGAAGAGGAGGAGGAGGAGGAGGAGGAGGAGGAGGGGGAGGAGGAGGAGGAGGAGGAGGAGGAGGAGGAGGAGGAGGAGGAGGAGGAGGAGGAGGAGGAGGAGGAGGAGGAGGAGGAGGAGGAGGAGAGCGCCATCGACAGGGAAGGTGGGGGCCACGAGGTCCGCCGGCTCGACGACGCCCGCGTCGCCCGCGCCCGCCCCCTCACTCTTATCCGCAATTGCGGGGTGCTACGTATTCTCCTGGGCTGGCAGCAGTTACAGGTGTTTGCTCCGCTTCACTGCCTAACACATCGTGTCGGTGATCCAGTTGCCGCCAGTTCGCACCAGACTGCTCGCGCTTCAGTTCACTTCGAGTTAAGTCGCCTCCTCGGTTTTCTGACCGCTGCATGTTTCGCTTAGAGTTGCAGTTCCACTTTAACATCACCCATAGCTGCATTGACAGTGTGCACACTTTTGCACACTGTGCCTTCGACGATGTTCTATCGCAATTTGCACTTCCATCTGCTGCTCTCGCCTGAGGATCCTCTGCGCCGCCGGCTTAAAAGTGTGTGGGTGTGTTTTCTACGCCGCGACGCCCCGCGCGTGGACGGGACGCCAAACCGTGTGTGTATGTGTCAGTGTGTGTGTGTGTGCCGAGTTAAGGCGTGGACATCGCAGGGGCGCCCATCACTGGGTGATCTGTGTGGGCTCGATCCATGCTAGGTGTGTGTTTGTGTGTGCATGTGCATGTGCTGAAGTGTACCTCGTTGGTTGTGTGGCTGCGCCTTTCGGAACTTAGTCGGGCATGCATGTCTACAAGTGGTGATACATATATCTACTTAGCACCCCGCAATTGCGGATAAGAGTGAGGGGGCGGGCGCGGGCGACGCGGGCGTCGTCGAGCCGGCGGACCTCGTGGCCCCCACCTTCCCTGTCGATGGCGCCCTCCTCCTCCTCCTCCTCGTCCTCCTCCTCCTCCTCCTCCTCTCCTCCTCTTCCTCGTCCTCGTCCTCGTCGTCATCGTCATCGTCATCCTCTTCCTCCACCTAGTCCTCCTCCTTCTCTTCTTTCTCGTCCTCCCTCTCCACCCCTCGTCCTTCCATCATCGTCCTCCAATTGTCGTCCACCCCCTCATCGGCCTCCATCATCGTCCTCCCATTGTCGTCCATCATCATCATCATCATCCTCCTCCTCCTCCCCCATCCTCCCCCTCCTCCCCCTCCTCGTCCTCCCCCCCCTCCTCCCCCTCCTCCCCCTCCTCGTCCTCCTCCTCCCCCTCCTCCTCTCTCCTCCTCTCCTCCTCCTCCTCCTCTTTCTCCACATTCTCCTTACACCCTCTCTTCTTTCGCGTCCTCCTCGTCCCCTGTTTACTCCTCCTGCCTCCCCCTCTTGCCCAAGATAACGGCAACGCAATCCTTTTTTCCACGTTATGCTCCCCGACTTCTTTGATCAAGGCAACTCGCCAGGGCAAATTTGCTGGACGGGCTGGTGTGGATGCGCGGGGCTTGAAGAGGTCGTTGCGGGCTCAGACGGCATGCAAAAATCCGCCGCCGCGCTTGTGCGGCATTGGTTTGTTCAGTGAACGTGGTTTGGGTCGCGGGCTCTCCACCTCCACCTGGAAGGAATGCAAAAGCAACCCGCCGCAGGCGCCGAAAAAATTGGTTTGCACACTGAACGCGGAATGGTTCTCGGGTGGGCCGCGGGTTCTCCACCGGGAGCGGATGCAAAAGATGCCCGCCGCAGGCGCCGAAAAATTTGGTTTGTACCCTGAACGTGGTCGCGGGTGGGCCGCGGGCTCTCCATGAAACGAATGCTAAAGATGCCCGCCGCAGGCGCCGAAAAATGTGGTTTGTACCCTGAACGTGGTCTGGGTCGCGGGTTGGTCGCGAGTTGGTCGCGGGGTGGTCGCGGGCTCTCCACCTGGGAGGAATGCAAAAAAAACGCCGCAGGCGCCGAAAATGGTGGTCTTGTCCCTTGAACGTGTGGTTTGAGCCGAAGGTGGGTCGCGAGTGGGTCGCGGGTGGGTCGCGGTGGGTCGCGGGGTGGGTCGCGGGGTGGGTCGCGGGGTGGGTCGTGGGTGGGTCGCGGGTGGGTCGCGGGTGGGTCGCGCGGGTGGGTCGCGGGTGGGTCGCGGGGTGGGTCGTGGGGGGGCGGGGTGGGTCGCGGGTGGGTCGCGGGTGGGTCGCGGGTGGGTCGCGGGGTGGATCGCGGGGTGGGTCGCGGGGTGGGTCGCGAGTGGGTCGCGGGTGGGTCGCGGGTGGGTCGCGGGGTGGGTCGAGGGGTGGGTCGCGGGTGGGTCGCGGGGCGGGTTGCGGGTGGGACAATGACAACAAACAACAACAAACAACAACAAACATCAACAATCAACGAACAACAACAAACAGCAACAACGATAATCCGCACCGCGGAATCCCACTTCAGCCACGCACCCAGGGACAGTGAATGACCGTTCGGCCCCCTCACTCTGACTATATCCACGGTACCAACTATATCCACACTATATAATATGTTCAGCATGCTGTATATCTACGATATTTCTGAGCGGGCGATAAGCGGAGTGCAACGACTTACGCAACATGGACCTTTTCGTTATCCCAGGCACGCCTTCTAGCGGTTGGAAGCCGTAACCCGATTACAGCACGTT